ACGCCCCACTTTTCAGTTTTTTATTTGTTAAAAAGTTTGACACATCCAGTAAATTTCATTCCACTTCACGATTGTGTCCCACTTGTTGTTGATTCTTCACAAAAAAATTAAAATTTTATATCTTTATGTTTGCAGCCTGAAATGTGGCAAAAGGTTGAAAAGTTCAAGGGAGCTGAATACTTTCACAAGGCACTGTAAATATTTGTCTCTTTTGGCTCCTTCTTCAGGGGTTATCACCGCGAGTGACCTAGCATGAAAGATTTAACAATTGTTCTGTGCTGGATGTCCTTCCTGACACAACCTGTGCTTCAACCCGACTGTTTGGTGCCGGTGTTGCACCAAAGGAGCAGCTTCTCTTATAGACGAGGCTTCAACAGAGCTTCAGCCCAGCAGAGTTCCTGCTGAACTCTCCTCATCAAAGCATTGTTGACAACTTGACCTGAAGGAACCAAGTGGAGCTGCTTGAGGGGTTTAAAGGATTTAGTTATTATTTTTAATAAAGTGACTCGTGTTGGTCGGCTGAACTCCACAGACGTTTATGAGAAGGATCCAGGCATGGATGCCTTGGTGCAGAAATAAAACAGACGATTCTCGCTTTTCATCTAATACTTGGTTTTACTGAAGAAGATCAATGTTTCTCAGGAAATCACTCAGTCCAGACTTTATTTGTTGCCATCATTACTTTTTGTAAACTGCTTTCTTCCTATTGCAGGCCACAACATTTGGTCAAACTGCATTTGATGTTTTTGGATATCAATGAATTTTCGTTCCATTCTTACAAAACTGAAACTGGATCTAAACTGAAATTAAAACTAAAAATGAGCAATTCTACAAGAAACATCTATAATCCAAAGTCTCCAAAACTGAGACTGTATTAAGATTAATTAAGTTTAGGATCTTAAAATAAAAAAATAAATGCATAAATAAATATGTAGTTATTTTAACATTTATTGACCAGATTGGCATTATATTACAAATACACATGATTAAATTCATCTTGACAAAAAAAAAAAAAAAAAAAAGCATCTCAGATGTCAAAGTTGTCATTCATCATAAAAATGACATCACTTTTCTCATTCGTGTGTGTTTGTCTTTCAGCTCCACTTTTCCACACTCCTCCTATTTAGAATAAAACACATGGATACCTGCTGATACTCAAAAAACTCCCATCCATCCATTCATCCATCCATCCATGCATCCATCCCTCCATCCATCCATCCCTCCTTCCATCCATCCATCCATGCATGCATCAATTCATCCATCCATGCATCAATCCATGCATCAATCCATCCATCCATGCATCAATCCCTCCATCCATGCATCCATCCATTCATCCATGCATCCAGCCATCCATTTGCTGGATTCCTTAGATAGAGAACTTTACTATTTGTCTTTTATGTTTGTGAATGTTTCTGTAAAGTGCCCTGAGACAACTTTGTTGTGATTTGGTGATATATAAATAAACTGAATTGAATTGAATAGAATCCATGCATCCATCCATCCATGCATGCATCCATCCATCCATCCATGCATGCATCCATCCATCCATCCATCTATCCATCCATCCATCTATCCATCCATCCATCCATCCATCCATCCATGCATGCATCCATCCATCCATCCATGCATGCATCCATCCATCCATCCATCTATCCATCCATCCATCTATCCATCCATCCATCCATCCATCCAGCCATGCATCCATCCCTCCATCCATGTATTCATCCATCCATCCATCCATCCATCTATGCATCCATCCATGCATCCATCATCTTTACCCATTTTTCCTTTTTGGGTCGCAAGTGCCTGTATCCAGCAATCACTGTGTGAGAGGTGGGGGACACCCATGACAGGTCTCCAGTCCATCACAGAGACAAATAGAGACAAATGAGACAAACAACCATTCACTCTCTCACTCACACCTAGAGACCATTTAGAGACCCATTTGTCCCCTGCCCTAATCACTCCAGGTGTCCTTCATTGTCAGTCATGGATGTTCCTGTTTATTCTGTGTCTTATCTTCTTATTGTCCGTGGCTTGTTCTTCTTCATGTCATGTTCTGTTCCTGCTGCCCCCGTGATCACCCCCACATGTAAGTTTTGCTGCCACGGCAGCCATTTTTTGTTGTTAATAATAAACATCCTTTTTCTAATCCACGAGTTGCTGAGTTCTGTCTGTACTGGGTTCAACTTCACGCTCAGATCATGACTCTGTTGTTTATATATGTTCTATAAATGAGAGAAAATGAGATCTGTTATTTGTCTTGCTTGACATTTTCATTCAGATTACTCTTGAAAAGAGACCAAAAGCATTTTTAGATGTTGTTTTCACATGTTCTGCTTCTTTTTTTTTAATACTTCACCATTTAAGACAAGTTCACATACCTAACATTTTGTGTGTACTGTTTATTTTTGTGTTTTTTATGAAATTTCTCAACTTAACTTTTTATGTCTTTTGCCTTCTAAATCCTAATGAGAATGTGAGGGAGCACAATTTGTGTAACACAAGTTTGACAGAAAGTAACCTCTAATTTTATATAAGCGCAGCAGAATATATAAACAAACCAGTATTTTTTTTTTTTCTCCCAATATAAAACAGTAACTGGTTGTGTGAGAGACTAAAAGTTCTCTACATGCTTTTATTTAAAGTCAACACAGTAAAACAAGAGCCGGAGATTTTTTTTAAATTATTTTTATGGAAGTGGTGTCCAAAGGTTGGAGAAGACAAGCTTGTGCTCAGGAGGTCGCCGGTTCAAATCTCCCTGACTGTTACAATAAGATGGGAAAATGTAGAAGCACCTCTGCCCTTGAGCAACATGGGGTGCCGTTTACACAGTCAAAAATTAAACGCAATATTTTGGTTTATTAGCCTTTCATAAAAAAAGGTTGTTTTTTTTTTTCAAAGTCATATTTTAACCATATTATTCATATATTTATAAATGTTATAGTTCCCAACTAAATATTTAATTTACTTATTAACTTGTAAGTTAAATATTTAAATTTAGTAAACTAAATGTTTTGTCTGGCATCAGGTTTAGTTAGTAAACTAAATATTTAGGTATAAATTAAATATTTAATTTCTAAGCTAAATATTTATTTTCAAAACTAAACAATTAACTTCCAAACTAATTTTTTATTGTCCAAGCTAAATATTTAATTTCCAAACTAAACATTTATTTTCTAATCCAAACATTTAATTCCTAAACTAAATGTTTAATTTGCTAACTAAATATTTACCTTGGACCTAAAAATTCAACTTGCTAGCTGAATATTTAACTTGTTAGCTAAATATTTATCTAGCAAGTTATATATTTAGCTAGCAAGTTAAATATTTAGCTCCCAAGTTAAATATTTAGGTCTGAGGTAAATATTTAGTTAGCAAATTAAATCTTTATTTTGAAATTAAATGTTTAGTTTATAACATATATATATATATATATATATGTATATATATATATATATATATATATATATATGTTTTTCTTAGTTCATATTTTAGATCTTATTACTGTTTTTCTTTCACATTTTATTGTTGGATGTAATTGGGACCTTGTGTACATAATCTCGTTCCACCACATGTACCACATGAGATGCAAATGACAAATAAATCTCTCTGACTGTGATTGTGGCTCTGATCTTTAGGTCCAAGCTAAATATTTAGTTAGCAAATTAAATATTTGTTTTAGGAATTAAATATTTAGATTAGAAAATAAAGGTTTAGTTTGGAAATTAAATATTTATCTTAGACAATTAGTTTGGAAATTAAAAGTTTAGTTTTGAAAATAAATGTTTACCTTGGAAATTAAATATTTTATTTATACTTAAATATTTAGTTTACTAACTAAATATTTAACCTGCAAGTTATTTAGTTTGTAAACTAAATATTTATATTGTAAATTAAATATTTAGTTTGAAACTTTGACATTTATAAATGTATGAATAATATGGTGAAAATATGACTTTGGGAGAAAAAAAAAGTTTTTTTTGTCATGAAAGGCTTATTAATAAACCAAAATATTGCTTTAAATTTTTGACTGTGTAACTTTACAAACGGCACCACATAGAGCAAGACCCTTAACCTTTCCTTAACTAACCCCTGAAGAAAGGAGCAGTCAAAAGGAGAAAACAAACAATCAAACAAACAAAAAATAAAAATAAACCTACAACTTGAGTGCACATTCAGTTTTGGACTCACTAGCTTTCTTTTGAGCAAACCACAATTGGGGCACAATGTATTCATAGTGAATATTACAGAAAACAGTCACCTTCGAAAACATTAAATAAAGAACTGGTACATAATTTGACCAATATGTTTTGGTTGTTTGACATTTAGGTCAAGGTTATGACTGATCATTTATTTCTTGCTGTTGTAATTATAGATGATCCAGTGGATCGGGGCTTCCTCCACTGACAAAGCAAAGCTCTTGATTTAGGGGTTTTCTACATCACTTGCCTCACTCATGGTCATGAGTAGAGCATTTCCAAAAGAACAAGCTTTGAATACAAGAGGCTATTATGAGCGTTTGCCGTAGAGTGGCTGGGCTCAGCCATGGGGCTAAAGAGAAGAGTGTTGTCATCTAGGTAGAGCTCAGATAGAGCAGCTGTTCCTCTCCACTGAAAAAACTCAGCAGAGGTGGTTCAGACATCTGACTGGGATGGATGACTCCCTCTGCAGACCACAACTCTCTGAGAGGGTTATACTTCCTCTTTGACCTGAGATTGGGATCTTCCTGAAACCTGGAGAGTGATGCTGGGAGCGGGGGTGTCTGGGCTTCCTTCCATAACTTGTACCTCTACAGCACAGCCTAAATGAAAGACAAAGGATGGATGGAGGTTGTAAATGAACATGTCTTTTATTATATATTTACAGAATAATGGACATGCACAATAGAGTAACTCACTGCCAACACAAATACCAGTATCAGAAGAAAATAACTTTTACACATTATTTTGCACTATCACAAGCCAAGCAGACTGGAAACACTTGTTGGATGTTGCACATTAAGCAGCAGACTCCTCTGTAGCAATTTTGTTACCAAGTTGAAATGGTGAATCATAGTCTGGAGGAACCTCAAAGAAGAGTTCATCATCGAAGCAAAAATCATCAGAAGGGGATCCGAGGAGAGGCAACCTCAGCACGTAACCTGTGAGGATGCCTCCCAGAGCCGACAAGCCTATTGTGGAGAACACAGCTGCCACCTGGAAGATGGCCTGTTCCTGGGCAGTCCTCCCCAAACCTGCCTGTATACCTGGGATCAATGCCTGGAGCTCATACAGCTTTGGGTCCCCCTCCACTGGTGCTCTGTGGGTAAAGATCTCATATATACTGGGACCGTAAACCTCCTCATCAGCCATCAGTATGGCACATATCCCCGCGGCACATGAAATAAGTCCAGTTAGTCCATGCAAGTTATGTATCCCACACTGATCTTGGATCTTGCAGTGCCGGGCCAAGAACGGACTCAGGTATTTGTAACCCAGCATGCAGGCAGTGCAGCCCAACATACCCAGAGCGTATGCTGCTGCAGGCGATATCATCATATCTACAGATGCTCCGACCGTCACACCTCCAGCCAGGGTCACATTCTGGACATCAGCCATGGAGAGTTTACCGTTCTTGTTGAGCATCGCAGAGAGAGCAAAAGCAGTGAGCGTGGAGGCGCTGAGGCCGATGAAGGTGTGGAGGATAGCCCTGTGCTGGTCATCTCCTTTCAGTGTCAGCGCAGAGTTGAACGAGGGCCAGAACACCCAGAGGAACAAGGTCCCCATCACGGACAGGATGTCAGAATTGTAGCTGGTGTTCTCCTTCACGTGACCTTCACTTAGACCAGACCTGTACAGCACAAAGGTGACACCCAAACCAAAGTAACAGGCAAAGAGATGAATGAGAATAGACCCTCCTGCATCGTTGATCTTCAGGTACTTCAGCACCACCCACTCTGTGACCGCAAACACCGGCACCTCCAGCAGAGCCATGACCAGCAGCTGCAATGGGCTGGTCTTTCCCAGCACCGCCCCGAAGGAGATGAGGACAACGGCACAAGCAAACTCTGCATTTATGAGGTTGATCACCCCAATGTGGATCTTCCCATCGTGGTAGAACTGGAAGTACCCCTGCACAAGAATGGCCCACTGGATGGCGAAAGTTGCTGTCAGAAAGTTGAAAACCATCCCACCAAAACCATAGAGCCGGAAAAATGCCAGCAAACACCCAAAGCCGAGGAAAATCATGACCTGAATGTCTGTAAAGAAGGGGTAGTCCCTATACACCGCGTTGTGCATCGGGTTTGTCTGGTTGGTCTGAAAACGGGCGTCAGCGTGCTCATCGTAGGTGACAAAGGCTGCAAAAAGGGCAATGAAAATCACCTCAGTTAGGAACAGAAAGACAGGTAGCCTCACTCGAAGGTTGGCCGGCTGTTTCTTCATCCTCACAGCTATTTGGATCAAATGACCGTCATCACTGCGAGAGCCTGCTTTATCTCTGTTCAGATAAGAGTTCAGAGACATTGGTTGGCTTTCGTTCAAACGCAGCTCCGCCCCGCTCACAGAGGGAATGAGCTGAGTGGACTTTGTCTACTGTAAAAAAAAAAACGTTCAGAAACGTCAGCAGTTTACTCCAAAGTGTAATAAAAACGATTCTGTGACTTTAACATGTTATATTCTGTACATGAACTTCTTCTAACCTTCAACTCTTGACATTTTTACTCATAGTTTGCACTTGCATGTAGAGGTTTCATCCTTTTCATGCTTTTTATCATTCATTTAAAAAAACAGAGATACTTGGTCAGGTAGAGATTAAATTGCCCCATTTAAGAGGACATTAAACAATGCAAATCCTTAGAATTGTAAATAGTAGGTGTCCTTGGGGAGTTAAAAATTTAACAGCCATGAGGGTAGGTGGGTAGTGTCTAAAGATTAGTTATAGATTATACAGGTGCTGGTCATGAAATTGGAATATCATGAAAAAGTTGATTTATTTCAGTAATTCCATTCAAAAAGTGAAACTTGTATATTATATTCATTCATTACACACAGACTGATATATTTCAAATGTTTATTTTAATGTTGATGATTATAACTGACAACCAATGAAAACCCCAAATTCAGTATCTCAGAAAATTAGAATAATACTTAAGATCAATTAAAAAATAATTTTTAGAAATGTTGGCCAACTGAAAAGTATGAACATAAAAAGTATGAACATAAAAAGTATGAGCATGTGCTGCACTCAATACTTATATGTGGCTCCTTTTGCCTGGATTACTGCATCAATGCAGCGTGGCATGGAGTGGATCAGTCTGTGTCATCAATATCATGGTCTTCAAACCAGGTACCGGTAGCTTTGTCACTGTGTGCAGGTACCAAATCCTGTTGGAAAATGAAATCTGCATTTCCATAAAGTTAGTCAGCAGCAGGAAGCATGAAGTCTCTAAAACTTCCCGGTAGATAGCTGGGTTGACCTTGGACCTCAGAAAACACAGTGGCCCAACACCAGCAGATGACCATCCCCCAAAACCCTGATGGACAAACTATCCACACTAGGACTAAGCCCCTCCATCTGCAACTGGGTACTAGACTTTTTAACAAACAGACCACAGTTGGTGAGGATCCACAACCTCTCCTCCTCCACCATAACCCTCAGCACTGGCTCTCCTCAGGGATGTGTGTTGAGCCCCCTCCTGTTTACTCTGCTCACGTACGATTGTGCAGCTACCCATCCAGGCTGTCACATTGTAAAGTTTGCAGATGATACAGCGTTGGTGGGATGCATCACAAACAATGATGAGTCCAGCTACAGGCAAGAGGTGGAACACCTGGAGAGCTGGTGCAGAGAGAATAACCTTCACATCAATGTGAAGAAGACAAAGGAGATGATTGTGGACTTCAGAAGGAACAAAAACATCTACACCCCCACCCCTGAACATAAGAGGATCTGCAGTGGAAGTGGTCTCCAGCTACAAGTACTTGGGTGTACACATGAATGACAACCTCAGCTGGAGCAACAACACCACCAGCCTGATCAAGAAAGCTCATCAGAGACTCTACTTCCTCAGACGGCTGAGACGAGCTGGTCTGGGAAGCTCAGTCCTCACCTCCTTCTACAGGTGTGCAGTGGAGAGCATCCTGTGCTCCAGCATCAATGTGTGGCATGGAGGCTGCACAGCTGCAGAAAGAAATGCTTTGCAGAGAGTGGTGAAGGCTGCACAGAAATCTGTTGGAATCAGTCTCCCCACCATCACAGACATCTACACCTCCAGATGCAGGAAGAGGGCCACCTGCATCATGAAGGACCCCACTCACCCAGCACACACACTTTTTGCCCCACTCCCCTCAGGAAGGAGGTTAAGGAGCATTAAGTGTAGAACCACTAGACTGAGGAACAGCTTCTACCCTGAGGCTGTTAGACTCATGAATCTCTAACTAGAATAATCACTGTGAAAAACCATATCATGTTGCTGCTGATCTGTTTCATGTTGCTGCTGATCTGTTTCAATGTTGATGTGTTCATGCGTGCACATCTGCTCACAGACTCATGTTCATGTTTGTGCTGATGTTCAATGTTTTATGTTATGAGTGCTTAGTGTATATTTAGTTGATGTTTTTCTTAGTTCATATCTTAGATGTTATTACTGTTTTTCTTAGACATTTTATTGTTGGATGTAACTGGGACCTTGTGTACATAATTTCGCTCCACCACATGTACCACATGAGGTGCGAATGACAATAAAGAAACTCTAACTCTGACTCTGACTGACATGGCACCCCAAACCATCACTGACTGTGGAAACTGACTGACTGGACCTCAAGCAACATGGATTCTGTGCCTCTCCTCTCTTCCTCCAGACTCTGAGATCTTGATTTCCAAAGGAAATGCAAAATGTACTTTCATCAGAGAACATAACTTTGGATCACTCAGCAGCAGTCCCAGGTGAGACGCTTCTGACGCTGTCTCTTGTTCGAGTGGCTTGACATAAAGAATGCGACAGCTGAACCCCTTGTCTTGCATACGTCTGAGTGTGGTGGTTCTTGAAGCACTGACTCCAGCTGCAGTTAACTCTTTGTGAATCTCCCCCACATTTGGAATGGGTTTTGTTTCACAATCCTCTCCATGGTGCAGTTATCCCAATTGCTTGTTAACTTTACATTGTTTCCTTCACTTCGCCTCTCTATTAATGTGCTTGGACACAGAGCTCTGTGAACAGCCAGCCTCTTTAGCAATGACATTTTGTGTCTTGCCCTCCTTGTGCAAGGTGTCAATGGTCATATTTTGCACAACTGTCAAGTCAGCAGTCTTCCCCATGATTGTGTAGCCTACAGAACTAGACTAAGAGACACTTTAAATGCCTTTGTAAGTGTTTTGAGTTAATTAGCTGAATAGAGTGTGGCACCAGGTGTCTTCAATATTGAACCTTTTCACAATATTCTAATTTTCTGAAATACTGAATTTCTACAGGTACTTGAATCTCCCCAACAAACCACAGCATGCATGTTAGGCAAATAGCTGAAATGTAGCTGAAAAAACTGAAAGAAATTAGTAGAAAGAAGCAGAAATTACCTGGTAAATGCTAAAAGAAGTTTAAAAAGCTGGAAAAAAAAATCTATAAAGCTGAAATTAGCAGACAGAAGCTGAAAGAGGCATAAAATAGCTGAAAAGACAGAAAAAGGTTGAAATGAGCTAATAAAAGCTGATATTTGATTAAATTACCATAAACTTAAGCAGAACAGAAAAATTTAAATGAACAGGAAAAGGTTTTAACAGCATAAAGGGATGAAGGATGTGAAAAGAGCTCCATTCATTTATATATTGAGAAAAATGTCCAAAAAAAAAAAAGTTAAATATTTCAAAAAGTTTAACATTGCACAGAAGTTGGAGCAGAAATATCCTGAAGGAAGTGAACGTTTTGATACATAATTGTTAAAATAGCACAAGCATTGCGAAACGATACATACAGAAAAACATATGGAAGAAAAACGGATCTGAATAATGTGAATGCTTGAATATTCACATAATAATGTCTGGCAGCTAAGAGGCAGAAATAATATATCAGTATGAAAAAGTGACCATTTTTACTCTAATAACTGTAATTTACTGACAAACTTTCCCTTTCCTACAACAGTGACATTATTTACATGAACGCTCCTACAAGAACCCTGCAGATGTTGGATGCTGTCTATCATGGTGCACTAAGATTCATAACTGGCTGTGATTATCGTACCCACCATTGCACCCTGTATTCACTGGTTAACTGGACATCATTAACTTCACACAGACTCTAACTGGTACATTTTCATCTTTAAATCACTTCTTGGTCTGCTGCCTTCATACATCTCATGTCTCTGTGTGAGTGCAGCTACAGCATGCGCTCTCAGGTCATTATTACCTGCAGTGTTCCCTCAGGACTGAATTAGGCAAAAGGGCCTTCTTCTACTCTGCTCCTCTTTCCTGGAATACCTTGCAAAAAGATCTGAAGTTCTCGACCTTGACCTCTAAGGGATTTTAAACATCTGTTAAGTTCATGGCAAAAACCAATGCAGACGTTCTAGTTTTTAGTTTTCTAGTTTTCTAGTATTCTACATCGCTTATCTAGCTGTTTTTTGTTTTCCTGATGCATGCTCAATATTTCAGGTAGAAAAATCTTTTAAAAAGTTAAATCTGGTCCTCTGGACATTAAAAAAAAAAGTAGAAACGTTGCGAAGACTTCTTCAGTCTGAGGTGCTGTGTTCAGCTCAGTCTTATAAATAGCACCTTCACAACCAAAACCAGCTGCTCACATGATCAAGGAGGACCATCTACTAGGCTGATGCTCCTCCTTGATCATCAGCTAGTTTTGACTGTCAGCAGCAAACTGGTTGAGCCACTACGAGAAGGTGCTATTTATAAGACTGAGCTGAATACAGCACCTCAGACTGAAGAAGTCTTCGCAACGTTTCTACTTTTCTTTTTTTAAATGTCCAGAGGACCAGACTTAACTTTTTTAGATGTTTTTTGTTTTTTAATATAATTTTCTTTCATTTTTCTTTTATTTATTCTCCTCAATTTGCATGCTTTCTTGTCTTTGTTGTCCACTGTTGTCTTCATTTTTTTTTAAACAGGTCTCTCTTGTAAATGAGTCCCTAAGGCTCAATCAATATGTATAAATAAAAAACTGACAAATAAATATATAATAATAGCTTTATAGGTTTTGTTTATTTTTATAGATGTAGTTAGATGACAGAGAAAATGCTCTTTTCCGGTTGTTGACGACTGCTCTGCGGCCATGATAAACTGCTGGTGGCCAAAGTGGCCTCCATTACGCATTAAGCGCTTGGAACGGTAAGTACCGCTTGTCTCCAGCAGGTGGCAGTAACGCAGCGCCGCCAGTTTAAAGCGAAGAAGAAGAAGACAACGAAGACGGAACGGAAGGAGGACGTCGTGCTACGACTTGCTAATTATAGCAGCTAATGGTTGGGGCGGAAAAACTGTGCACTTGCCATCGAAAATCGTAACTTCATCTTAGTTTTGTGTGTTTAACAAAGACAGAGTCGTCGACAGCAATCTCTTCGGCAGCATATTAACCGTGATATTTAGACTTTGGCACACCATTTCATCAATTTCAGACGGTAACGTCATTGTTTGTCAGATTCAGACAGCTCGCTGCCGCGGAAACGTTCGGTGGCCATCTTGGCTCCCTGTGAACTTAACAGGGTGGTTTTTTTTTCTAACGGATCCCTTAATTGTTCCTAAGTAGCGTTTTTTGAGTTAATTCCGATTTTACTGTGTGTTGTATGTTTTTTCACGTCTGTATACTATTAGTCCGGTCATCAAATTTAACTCGACTAATTCAATCGAAACGAGTAGTTTTCAGCTTGTGGCTAGTTAGCATTAGCTTGTATCGACTAACGCGTGCTGGACTTTGGTTTCCTCTGAGCTGGTTGTTTTTTTGTGATGGTTCTTGTCACTTACTTTAATAAGAGCTATGCATTTGAACAAGTATTGTGAATGTGATGTGTAATGGTAGAAAACGAATTGATTTAAAAGGCATATACCAAACTATGTGCCTATAGTTAGCAGTAGGCCTTTTTATACTTTTTTTTTTTTTAGACATTTGTAACGTTTGTGTTTGTTTCTGTGTTTACAGGATCAAAATGGCTGATGACTTTGACGTTGAGGCCATGCTGGAAGCTCCATACAGAAAGGTGGGTTGAAAGTTACAGAGACGAGGCCTGTAAAAGTACTGTATTACTCCTTTTGCTTAGATCTTTTAAATTTGCTTTTGTGAAAAGTAGTTCACTTGAATGTTGTGTGGTGTGATTGAGTATTAAAGAAGCAATACAGAATTATAAATAAATCCACATCTATCTCTCTTTATAGACTTCCCTAATGATATCTCACCTCTACTCCCATGAATTCATCTTTGGTTCCACTGTGAACTGTGAAAAAAAAGGAAGGTAGTTATTGCGCATATACTGATGTACTGTGGTTCACTTTAGGACTAAAAGAGATTCAACCTAGAACATCCAATCCCTATTCGGTTGCAACAAGGTGAATGCCAATGGTTGATGAGCCCATCTATACCTGTTCAGCAAAGGAGGCAGTATTCATATTTACAATTTGTATTTTGACTCTGGTTCTCACATTAATGTGTTTTTAAAGTGCTGCCATTGTAGGTTTTATGCAATGAATGTTTCACTTTGGATGTAGTTTAATATTTGTTTACTCTAGGAAAAATGTCATATTTTGCTCCTATGTTCTCAGATTAGTCCTTGATAATTGGTAAGTTTTTAAACATAAAACGGCTCTAATCAGCAGATAGCTCAAACATGTCCTTTTTTTGTAGTGCAGTAGAATTTGTGTGTAAATATGAATACTGCCTCTTTCAGCATCTTGATTTTTATTGCATGCTACACAACACAACATTTTCTATATATATATATTGATATTTTAGTATTGCTGTAAACTACAACTTCTATTTAGCATAAATATATAATTATGTATTTTCAGTAGTTGTGTCAAAAGGTTGTAAATATTAATGCAAACTACAGATAATTGTAGTGTAACTGGTGGCTGACTTGATCTTTTTATTTATTTTCATGGGCGTCAGTATTACTAAGAAGTGTGAATCCCTGTTTGCTTCAGGGCAAGATGTGTGACAGAGGTGGCATCGAGCTCTTACAGTCCAAGAACGAAAATGGGTGAAGATCACTGGACTGACACCGACCTCACGGGATCTCTTTTAGTGGCCATGGGCCATGTGTGGTCACGTGATTAGGCACAAATAGTGGCATTGGTACGAACTGTTAGCGGGGGAATGATGAAGAGGACCTGACAAATGTCAAAGCTTCATGAACTCTGCTAATATGTTGGACACTCCCTTAACTTTGCATTGTTGCATTAAGTATTGTGCAGCGTTAAAAATGTAAAACACTGGAGTGGGATGGGAGGCTATTTGGGGTGGTGGAAGACGACTGTCCAGAGATGACAGTAGGAAGTTTGTATTATTATTATTATTATTAATTGAATATATTCTATATTTTCTCCTTTCTCACCCCCACCCCCCTTTTTACCTTGACGACTTGAAATGTTTCATCTTCGTCCTCACGATGTTCTTCTATAAACCTTGCTTAGGATGAGAACAAGTCCTCTCATGCAAATGGACACGATGAACACAGCAAGAAGTAAGTTTTACCTACATGAACAAAATGGCTTGTTTTATTTCACCTTAACTCTTTGTGGTTGTTTCAAATTCACATCCTCCGTAGTAAACCTTTTTAAATGTTAGGTTCATATTTTCCTGAGATTTGCCCTTTTTTAGTTTTCATCTCTTGATCGTAACGCGTTTCAGGAAAAGGAGGAGCAGGAGTCGGAGTCCAGGCTCAAAGAAGAAGAAAAGCAGGAGTAGGAGCCGAGACAGGAAGAAGAATAAGAAGAGGAGCAAGAGCCGAGAGAAAAAACGCAGCCGCAGCAAAGAGCGCCATCGTAGCCGCTCCCGAAGCAAGGAGCGATCCGGACGCTACAAAGCACGCAAGAGCCCAATGTATGTGAACTACTAACACACGTGTGCATTTAATTCAGCCCTACAGCGTCTGTTTGAATCATGTTGAGAGGTGCTGGGTTACTGCAAGCATGTTGTTTTTATTTCCTTTAATTACTTTATTTTTGTGCATTTGAAATAAAGTAATTTTGGGTTCCCTTGTTGCAGTCGTAAACGTTCCAGAAGTCGAAGCCCTTTTAAAAAGGAGAAGAGTCCCGTTAGGTAAGATGGATATTTCTTGTTTTATGTCGGTTTGTATATTAGCACAACGTCAGACGTCCCTGTCCAAACTGTCGGGAGCTGTTGTTAAAATGTTCTCAGTAGAAATGTCATTTTTTTAAAACAACATAATGTTATCGCAGAGATTAAACTTTATTTTCTCATAAAGGCAACCCATCGACAATCTAACACCAGAGGAGCGGGATGCCCGCACCGTTTTCTGTATGCAACTTGCTGCAAGAATCAGAGCTCGAGACCTGGAGGATTTCTTCTCAGCAGTTGGAAAAGTCCGTTATTATTTCTTAAAATGCAATTCCCTTAATTCTCACTTGTACGAAGTCTCGTTACGTGTTGTTTTCTCTCGTAGGTTCGGGATGTGCGAATCATCTCTGACAGAAACTCTCGGAGGTCAAAGGGCATTGCATACATTGAGTTTGTAGAGTCGTCTTCTGTCCCACTGGCCATCGGACTAACTGGTCAGAGGCTTTTAGGCGTGCCCATCATCGTCCAGGCCTCTCAGGTCAGTGACTTTATTACAATTGAATCTAAAAATTGTACAACATAAATATTTATGTGAAATGTATAAACCTTCGATTTTAACTGTTTTTCACAGATGACTTGAAATGTTTGTGTCATTGAAAGTCCGTTCAGAAATGCAGAGGAGCAGAACGCGTTAGCGTCACTGGTGTAGCACTAAATCAATGAGGCTGGTGTTTGTCCCAGTTGTGTGTTCACTCGGTGGAGTAAAGAACTTTCTCCATTGATTTCCAGGCAGAGAAAAACCGAGCTGCAGCTGCGGCCAACAATCTACAGAAAGGCTGTGCTGGTCCCATGCGGCTGTACGTGGGCTCGCTGCACTTCAACATTACTGAGGAAATGCTGCGAGGGATCTTTGAGCCGTTTGGAAAGGTAAGAAATCAACTTCACACGTCACATTATTTATTCATGGGTTATTGTTTTTTTTTACCCCCTCTACGTGTTTTGTTTTCAAAGATTGAAGGGATCCAGCTCATGATGGACAGCGAGACTGGGAGATCCAAAGGTTACGGCTTTATATCAGTAAGTGAAGCTTTTGTATTTGGTTCGACTGCAGTTTGTCACTTTGTTCACTCTGACCTCCACGTTGTGAAGTTTGCAGATGCAGAATGTGCAAAGAAGGCACTGGAGCAGCTGAACGGCTTTGAGCTGGCCGGACGTCCTATGAAGGTGGGGCACGTTACAGAGCGCTCGGACTCGTCAACAGCTAGCTCGTTTCTGGACAACGATGAACTGGAGAGAACTGGTATCGACCTCGGCACAACGGGGCGCCTGCAGCTTATGGCTCGACTAGCAGAAGGTTCGTTACTCAAGTCGGACCCAAAAGAAATCTTAATTACTGTAGTCGTTGCTGTGTGTTATTCTTTGTTCCCCTCCTTCCACAGGAACTGGCTTGAAGATCCCTCCTGCTGCTCAGCAGGCTCTACAGATGACCGGGTCCATTTCCTTTGGGGGCATGGCTACTCCATCAGGTTAGAATGGAGATAAACAGCTGTTTGTATTTTTGCTGTTTGTAAATCAACAATAACGTACATGTATTCATCTTACAGTTCCAACCCCAGCTCCAAGCCAAGCTTTGAACCTCCCATCACAGCCACTGGCCACACACTGCCTTCAGCTGTCCAACCTCTTCAACCCACAAGCGTAAGAATATCAGACCGCTTCAAGTTAACTTGGTATTCACAGGTTAACAAATACCTTGAAACAATTTTAAAGTACTTGGCCAGTTTCATTGTATTAACGTGCAGAATGTTTGACAAGATTTACAGCACAAATTACTGCCATCATGCACACACATGCCCTGATTGTTGTTTGGTCAATACATGCACCCTCAGCTCCTGAAATAATGTATACTGTTGTTTCCACCGTAGAGAAAATGATCCTAACTGGGCTAATGAAATTCAGGATGATGTGATAGATGAGTGCAACAAGCATGGAGGAGTTGTTCACATCTATGTTGACAAGAACTCTCCTCAGGTGAGTGACAGCATGCAGTTACGTAAACGATGTTCGGTCACTTTAGTTTCAGATTTCAACCTAATGAGTTTAAGTTTTCTGATCCGTCTTTGTATTATTTTACAGGGTAACGTGTACGTGAAGTGTCCCTCAATACCGGCTGCAATGGCAACTGTAAACGCCCTTCATGGACGTTGGTTTGCAGGTATGTCAGGCAGAGCTGCAGCAGATAAAGAGCACTTGCATCTACACATGAAAATACAACCTTTTTTTTCTTCCCTAGGTAAAATGATAACGGCTGCATATGTTCCTTTACCGACCTACCACAACCTTTTCCCTGACTCGGTAACGGCCAAGCTGCTTCTAATGCCCATGCGTCGATAGTCAAGACGGCTTCAGAGAGTCCATGTAAATACATTTGTTTGCATTTATGGAATTTCATTGAAAATTAGTTGGCTGTGTGTAATAAAAAAGTGCCCTCACATTTTTTCTCCTCCCCCCCCCCCCCCCCTAAAAAAAGTTGCTTTTCAATTTTTGTGGGGTTGTGTTGTAAACTACCACTGAGAAGTATTCTTCAGGTATCTATTGATCTGTATGTTTTTAAATATTACGTCTTATCTGCTTGTTAAATTCAACAGTTTTAGATTTGAAATGCATTGCAGAGGAACACGAGTGTGTTGGGCAAAGTAGGCCGAAAACGTTGAAGTATATCGATGTCAGCAGTAATCCTTTGTAACTTTATACAGCCATATTTCTTTTCTTTTTTGTATGAAGGCTTCCAATAAATCTGGCAAACGTTGCATGTGGCTTTTATTTTATTACAGCAAGTGTTTAAACCAGGTTAAATGCTTTCATGAATAAAATCTTAATTACGGCAGTTTGACCCCATGTTAATTTAATTTTGTATAAAATTAATTATGGCATCTTCATTGAATTGAAAAGTCACAGAAGTGATTCATTGAAAGGTTTTGATGTCAAACTGTTCTGGGGCTGTGAAGTGAATCAAACATTTAGACTTTAAAACGTTGATACTTGGGGGGGGGGGGGGGGGGGACTGGTTTTGCTTTAAGTTTTGCTGCAGATGTTGAGACTGAACTTAATGGAAATGGTTTTTGTACCAAGTAATCTTTTCTCCACTTAAGTTACTGTGGTTTTAAAGTTTTAATACATTTAATACACGTCATTAAAAGTTGTTTTTCAGACGTGATTATTCATTCAACCAGATTATTCTTGAGAATACTTTTGTTTAAATGGTGTTCCTATGGAGTCTGTCCATTCTTACAAATACTTTGGTATCTATCACATCACTCGCATCATGTTGAAAACTTCATAAATACAAAGTTAAACTGTTTTTCAGAAATACATCCTGTTTACCTCTGAATGTTGAGGAACACCTTGTAACTGACTTTCCTCCCCTCCATCGACTACAGTGACGTTATTTACATGAACGCTCCTACAAGCACCCTCCAGATGTTAGATGCTGTCTATCACAGTGCGCTAACATTCATAACTAGCTGTAACTACCGTACCCACCACTGCACCCAGTATCCACTGGTTCATCATTAACTTCACACAGACTCACACTGGTACAGGTCCTTCTCAAAAAATTAGCATATTGTGATAAAGGTCATTATTTTCCATGTAATGATAAAAATGAAACTCATATATTTCAGATTCATTGCACACCAACTGAAATATTTCAGGTCTTTAATTGTTTTAATACTGATGATTATGGCATACAGCTCATGAAAACCCAAAATGCCTGTCCCAAAAAATTAGCATATCATGAAAAGGTTCTCTAAACAAGCTATTAACCTAACCATCTGAATCAACGACGTAACTCTAAACACCTGCAAAAGATTCCTGAGGCTTTTAAAAACTCCCAGCCTTGTTCATTACTCAAAACCGCAATCATGGGTAAGACTGCCGACCTGACTGCTGTCCAGAAGGCCATCATTGACACCCTCAAGCAAGAGGGTAAGACACAGAAA